TTTGGGGATGGGTCTCAGCTGCTGAGCTGTGTTTCTGTTGCCTGGGGATGGATGTCTGCTCCCCAGCCTCTTTTGCTGGGGGTATATCTTGACTCTGATCAGGTTGCTACTGTGGGGGATGTTGGTGGGCTCCTGGACCTTTGCTGTTTCTGTAGCAGGCACCTTTAGAGCTCCACTACTGTGCACTCGTCTGTATTGACACAGAGTGTCCACTGGTCCAATGGTGCCAGATGCGCTGGTGTGCTCAGGTTGCTCAACCCTAGCTGCTCCCACTGTCTCCTCCCAGGGAAGACCCGGGATCTTCCAAAATGGTGAGACCTCTCCATGGAGAAGTGCCCTAAAGAGCCGCTTACTGAGGTAGCCAGCTGCTCCCTGTCCACAACACAGGAACCTTCTGCTCCACGTCTCTGCACTGCACAAGTTTGGCTCTCCACCTTCATGTCCACTCACTCTCTCTCACACACAAACTCACTCTCTCAGGCACTTACCCTCTCTCCATTCCTGCCCACTGCCATCTTTTAAATACAGAGTTCATTAATGCATGCATTATCTTTACAAGAGGGAGAACTCAGTGATGAACAACTCCAAGGAGCGGTCAAACTTGGGTTTATATAGCATCTTAACAAAAGAAAAATACATTTTTAAGAAAAATGACAAGATGAAGGAAAGCAGGCTTAGGTTTTTAAAGTGGCAAAGTGTTGGAAGGTAAGTATATGGGGGAAACTAAAAGAAGATAAGGATTCTTTATTAAAGTTTGTTATGTAGATTCCTCTTGGTGCCCATTTCTGGACTGATAAGAGTCTAGCATTTTCCTGTTCATTAAGAGTTCTGTTTTTTGTTTGTTTGTTTGTTTGTTTGTTTGTTTGTTTTTCTGGTAAGAAAAAGGGAGACATGTTTACAAATTTATGTTCTGCTTTTAGGCAAATGAGGGAGGGCAGAGAGTTTTTTCTTATACCTGTTTCTTCTCAGTCATCTCTAGCTCAAAGTAATCTTTATGCCAAAGTCGCATATCTTGGTGTAACAAATTCTGATATTCTACATAATCAATTTAGTCAGATAAATAAGCAAAAATTTTAGATAATTTAGCTAATATTTTTAATGTGAACCAAAAGTATAGACACTTTTTAATTTATAATCCCCCCATTGGGTTACATAGTATTGAGATGCTATTTGGTAATACTATGATGCCTTCTGTGAGTTCCTGGTCTGAACATGATGATCAGGTCTGCAGAGGCCTTTGGGGCAGAATGAAATTGGAACTCTTCCCTCTCATTATATTCCTGGGACCAGATTCAGCTGGAAGCAACTGGTGTCAGGAATGTACTGAATCAGGCATCCACTCATTTCACTATATGGATTCAATCTCATTAACTGATTTGGTAGTCCTCTCAGTCACTCTCTATGTAAAGCCTAGATAGCCAGTCAATTTTATGTACTCATATTGGCCATTTTATTGAAGTTTTAGGTTGGTTTGTACAAAAAGGTCAATCTGATTTGTTAGCTCTGAGTAGAGGACCTTATTTTTTTTTCTCACTTTTTTTCAACCTGATGTTCCTGTTCTCATTATAGTGGAAACTAAAAAAAGGCACAAAAAGAATATGCAAAAATGTATTAATAATGGGCAGTGGTCTTAATTATCTTCCTTTTAGGGACCCTCAGGTTTGGAAAAATCCAGTGGCAATAAAAATAAGGGTTCCCTATGAGTAAGTGAATTGAAGAAAGATTGATAGAAAGTCTGTGTGTGTGTGTTAAAGCTGGGAAAAGTGGAAATACTATTGGTTTGGGTAGGGACTCAGAGTGGCGGTGAGAGTGGGGGAAATGTAAAATGACTGTGAAAAAATTTTTAACTGAAAAAGGAATATATATATATATTTAAGCATTCCATGATCTGCACTTCTCGTCCTCACCTTTATAATCAGGGCATGTATATCCAGATTTTTGCTTTAATAATTCCTTTTCTCCTTGAAAGCCTCTTCTACATGTGTGCGTGGGAGTGAAAAGAACAAATAAATTTTTTTCTGAACCATGTATCCTTCTGGAGAGGTGAAATTCCTCTCAAGAATGTCATTTTTTTAAAAAAACAAAACCAAACAAAAACAAAACAAAACCTGGTCCTTTAAACTATACTGCTAAGTAATATTACAACAAATAATAGATATTCACCAAAAAACTTAATTTAGTGTGATTTATCTTTGCTTAATTCTGCTAGCCAAGCTGCACTTGTCCTGAGGAGCTGCATAATTAATTTAAGTGACCTGAGGCTTTTAAAGCCAATATTTCAGCAGAAAAATTATCCTCTGCTTTCAGGAGAGTGAATTTTTGTGTGTGTTGTGTTGCTTCCCATGACTGACATTTATTTGATTATCAAGTGTATTTACATTGTTGGATTAACTTCGAGTTCTTCGCTGAGTCAATAATATGCTGTATTTCTTGTTTCAAGTGGTGTCAATATTATTATTCCCTTTTTTTGCTTTTTTCCTTTAATTCCCTGCAGCTACAGAATTTTTCTTTGACTTGTAAAATTTTGTTGCTCCTAAATTACGAAGAAACAGAGTAAATGCCGTTTTTAATCTTCTGGGAAATGTGTGCCTCTTTAAACTTCATTTACGTCACAACTTACTGTAATGAAGGACAAAAGCTCTAGACAAGGTCTCCTGCTCCTTTGGGGTGTTCAAGGCTAGGTCTCCCAGAGGCAAGCCTGCAGTTTGTTCTCACAAGTTTATAGCTCACCTCCTGACTGTTTTTTTTGTTTTTGCAAGGGGCATGAGAGGGGACTAGAAATAGAGCAGGGTGGGAATTTGACCCATAGTGACCACTCAGGAGGCTCTGGTCTAGAAAATTTCCTCATATGTGGCAAAAACAAACATTGCAAATGGAGAGAGAAACCAGGCTTAAACAAAGAGTGAAACAAGTTCCCATTTCCACTCTTCTACCCATAACCATAGATGCCCGTTCACTTGTTTCCCAAGCATCATTTCCCATCATTCAGACAGAGCAAACACCTGAATCTGTTCAGAACATAGGAAAAAAATATTTTGATATTTAATAAAAATGGTGTGTATGCATATTAGGAGCATCTTCTCAATATTCAAACTCAGCCTACAAAAAAAAAAAAAAAAAAAAAAAAAAAAAAAAACAACAACAAAAAAAAAAAACACAACAAACCAAAAACCTAACACACACACACACACACACAAAACCCACACTAAAATGATGTACTGAAAACCTTTGACTCTACTATATTTTTCAGGCAATGGTGACCTGTTTTCACTGGTCCCATCTGCCTGTTTGCTGTAGGATTGACTTCAATGTTAATGGAGAAACAGAAATGTCAAAAACACCTATTTTCTCATGTCATTTGTAATTTTGTCTTTTGTCATCTATTCTCTCTTCTTTATTGTTCCCTTTCTGTTGTATATGTTTCTAAGTCCCCAGATACCTCCTCACAGCCTCCTCTCCTCTACCTCCAGCCTTGCAAGTGTGCATAGGTTCACTTTAACTGCTACCCAAAAAATATGATCCATAGAAATAACTGGGATACCCATTTAAGTGTCTTGGGTTCTTTGGTTTTCTGTACTCATTGTAATAAACTATCTAGTGACTAATTTTGTCTAACTGTGATCTCCATTTTGGGAATTAATTTAAGAAAAATATTTCCCACATAACAATTCTTCATATTCATTTCCCCTACTATAGTTCTTTTGTTACAGTTTATGAATGGTCAGCAATGACTTTCTGTAAATATAGTTTTTCTTTTTTCCAGGACAGTAGGTGAGTTTAAACGACCAATTGGTGCTCCCTCCTGTAGTATGGAGATTAAGAACATGGCCTCTGGCATTAGATTGCATTGGTTTAAATTTAAATATCCTCATTTAATAGCTATGTGACCACATGAAAGTTAAACTCTGTGAGCTCTAGCTTCCTGATTTGTAAAACAGAGTTAATACTAATAGCTTATAATAGCACCTACCATGTGCTAGGCATGGTTTTACACACTTTAAATACATGAGCTCATTTAATTTTCATAACTCCATGATGTAAGTAATTAACATCATCCCCATTTCTCAGATGAGAAAGCTGAGACACAAAGAAGGAAAATAACTTGGCCAAGGTCATAGAAGTAGTAAGTGGTATAGCTGAGCTTGTGAAATCATGCAGTTGGATCCCTGAGGTCATTTACATACCAGTATGCTATATTGCCTATTAAATTATTGAGCATAAAGCATCTCGCACAGTGTTTGGCACATAGAGTTTATTGTCAACTAGTATTATCACTACCATCACCTTTTATTTCTTTCTTTTGTCATTCTTGCTTCTGTTGGACTGATTGTGTAAGGTTGATCACTCCTACCTCCACAAGGAGAGAAAACAATGTGATCTAGTCCACAGTAGCTACTTGCTCCTTCTTTACCTTGTGTGCTTTGTATTTAAACCACAAATATGACAGAAACCTATGAAAGGGAGAGTAAATGTTAATACCTCCTTTCCAAGATATGAAAATTATATTCTTCCTATCACTACCCCTCCAGCAACAAGCCAACAGAAAATTCTTAAAGCAAGAGAGAAATTTTAGAAATTATAGACTTTAAGTCATGTTGCCACTGTTCTTTAATAAGCAGGGGTAAAGATTTCAAAAATTAATGAAGGTTGCAAAGGGCATTGGTAGACAAAGACTCTGCTACTAGAATAAATGCTCTAGTCTCCACTCCTTACTGCATTTTAGAATGCCAGTATCAGGGAAAAGAAGAAAATTCTGCAAATAATTATATTCTTCTTTTCAAGTAAGTCACAGACTTCAAAATTCTCTAACACATTTGTGGAAACTTCATTTTTTTTTTTTTTGTTTGAGATTTATTTGAATGAGCTGTTATGATTGGAGACAGTGAGAATTTCAGATTAATGTTTTGCAGCCAAAAAAAAAAAAAAAAAAAAAACCTCTGGAAAGCTGGCAAGTGTTCATAAGTCAGCCCTAGAATTATGTAGGTTGAAGGCTCCCAGTGGACAGACCGAACATATAAGAAGGAAACCAGAGATCTGGTGCTATTACGTCCCCGAGTCTAAGGGAACAAATAAGCACAGAATTAAAAGCATTCTTCAGCCTGAAATTTTAAGGTAGGTCTGTACAATTTATGTATACTATATTTTGAAAACTAGAACATACATTAAATGAAAATATTTTTTTATGGATGAACTTTACTTTTTCCCTGTATTTTAACACTGTATTTGCAAAACTCCTAAAGTATTTAACTGCTATTTCTTTTACAGGGGTGCACTTAGGAACTAGGCAAGCTGATTTATGATAACTAAGTTTTAAACTCCAAGAACCAGTAAGTCTTCAAGTGGGTTTATTTTAGATTCTTTTATGTTACTTTATTAGGTCAAGATTATGAGAGAATGAGCTTTAGGTAAAAATGATAACTTTACTGTTTACTAGGAGATTCTTTGTTTACATTTTTCATAAAGTAGTTTATATGTATTTTCAAACTGTAAAGTAACAGTTTTTCCCTTACTATGTTTACCTTCACCTAATTTTCTTTTGTTTTAAAATAATGTTGCTACAAAAAAACAAACCAGTATCACAAAAACTGAAACATTGATTGTAATATTTGAGAGTCATGTAGCAATGTAACTATTTAGTTGTGTTAAACTGAAAAGATACCAAAGGAAAAATGATATAATTATATATAATTAATCTTGGATGTTAAACTCTTACTTCATTGAACAATCAAAACTATTTGTACTTGACCTTAAATTGGATTAGGCTATTTTTAAAAATAGATTAAATTTAAATATATCTAAAACTCATAGTCTCTATTAAAACGTGAATAGGGGACTTTTAGAAATATACATATGTTCCATAATTTCCTCTTATTTATATTATTATCATGAAAACAATGGAAAAGTAGAACTAAATAAATTATTTCTTAATTAGTAAAAACCAACCACAATCCTCCATCCCAATATGTTCCTTCTGCATATTCTCTTTCAATCTTTTGTGCACTTAATTATTTTTTCCATAGCTTATGTTACTGATATTTTCTATAGCTGTAGTGATTTGTATATAATTAGTTACTTGAATAAGCCCCTTTTCTATGCAATAGCAGACAGCAGTGTGGTTTCTAGAAAGTATACAGATTAAGATGTGTTCAAGTGTTTTTGAAATGTTCACTTTTCTTCTTGTTTGTTTAATGCATTTCCTATCCTGGGTAACCTTTTGAAATATTAATTATCTTTAAACCTTTTGAAAATACGATAGAAAAGATGGGGGAAATGTAGTTTTGTTCAGAATTTTTAGTCTCTGATGCTGCAATGTCTTAACTTGGTACTAGTGAGAAAATTCTTTTTCTTTCAAGACGAAAAACTCATTCTTATTTTATGTCTTGGTTCTGTTTTCTAATGTTTTCTATAATTACCCACCTTTATTGCTTTCAAAAAACTTTCAAAATGCTAATGACTTGATGTCTTAAACTGTGTGTGTGTTCTGAGTATTTCTTTTTATTTTCACAGAAGGTGGTAAAAATTAGAAGCTGCTGACATTTCAATATGAAAGGCAACTTCACCCTTGCCGTCATCAACAAAAACATCAATAGCAGTCTTCCCTTTGGACTTGTGAACATCTCTGGCAATGAGTCAACCTTTAACTGCTCACATAAGCCATCAGATAAGCATTTAGATGCAATTCCTGTTCTCTACTACATTATTTTTGTGATTGGATTTCTTGTCAATACTATTGTGGTCACACTGTTTTGTTGTCAAAAGGGCCCTAAAAAGGTTTCCAGCATTTACATCTTCAACCTGGCTGTGGCTGACCTACTGCTTCTGGCTACTCTTCCTCTTTGGGCAACCTATTACTCTTACAGATATGACTGGCTTTTTGGACCTGTGATGTGCAAAGTTTTTGGTTCTTTCCTGACCCTGAACATGTTTGCAAGCATTTTTTTTATCACCTGCATGAGTGTTGATAGGTACCAATCTGTCATTTATCCCTTTCTGTCTCAAAGAAGAAATCCCTGGCAAGCATCTTATATAGTTCCCCTTGTTTGGTGTATGGCCTGTTTGTCCTCATTGCCAACATTTTATTTTCGAGATGTCAGAACCATTGAATATTTAGGAGTGAATGCTTGCATTATGGCTTTCCCACCTGAGAAATATGCCCAATGGTCAGCTGGGATTGCCTTAATGAAAAATATCCTTGGTTTTGTTATCCCTTTAATATTCATAGCAACATGCTATTTTGGAATCAGAAAACACTTACTGAAGACCAATAGCTATGGGAAGAACAGAATAACTCGTGACCAAGTCCTGAAGATGGCAGCTGCTGTTGTTCTGGCGTTCATTATCTGTTGGCTTCCCTTCCATGTTCTGACTTTCCTGGATGCTCTGGCCTGGATGGGTGTCATTAATAGCTGTGAAGTTATAGCAGTCATTGACCTGGCACTTCCTTTTGCCATCCTCCTGGGATTCACTAACAGCTGCGTTAATCCCTTTTTGTATTGTTTTGTTGGAAACCGGTTCCAACAGAAGCTCCGCCGTGTGTTTAGGGTTCCAATTACTTGGCTCCAAGGCAAGAGAGAGAGTGTGTCATGCCACAAAAGCAGTTCCCTTAGAGAAATGGAGACCTTTGTGTCTTAAACACGAGAATGGAATGCATGTTATCATCATGGCTACTTGGTTTGAGGTCCCCTTGAATTATCTTTTAATGGCTTTAGCAAAATACGTTTTTTTCCCCCCTTAATGTAATCTTTTCTCACTGGTCTCGAATAGGAAAACAAAGGTAACTATAAGTTTTATTCTCCAGTGACTGTCAGGAATTACCCCCCACCCCCTTTATTTCTGGTCTGTCAATACAAGACTGTCCTTGGGCAGAAATCCATAACCTGAAGTAACTGGGACTTTATCTCAAATTATAATTAGTAACACATTGTAAATACTAATTTTGGGGTTCATATTTCTTCTTGACAAATGCTGAATTTTTTTATTGACCTTTATATCTATTATCATCAGGTTTTCCTTTTCAACCAAGACCAATCTTTTAACTCATTACATTATATACAAGACATTATGCTAAAAGACACTAACTATACTTCTAAATAAAGTGTACTCCAACAGACTGGTACCAGATTATTTGGGCTCCAGGCATATGCTTTCTACTTTAAAAAGTATTATAAATAATAATCCTTTTATATTTCATTTTTCACATTTCACAAATATAGATTTATATTTCATATGTCTACATATTGAATAGGGCTAGAAATATAGATTAGATCACACATACTCCTACATTTTAGCTTATTTTACGGTTATAGAAAGTAAAATATATAGTAACATAGATTTGTAAGTGTTCACTAAACACTAAACTTTGAATAAACACTTTAAAATTCTTTCCATTTTAACTATTGTTCGAAAGTTTCTATCTTTTCTGATAATTTCTTCAAAACAATAAACACTGTGTAATGTTTTAAAATGTAAAAGGTCACTTTTTACATCCTTGACCTTTTAGATATGGTGCTTTGATATATAGGAACTTGATTTTATTACTGATGTTTTGGTTCTGAGTTGCTTCTTAAAATATCTGGGTGGCTTCTTTAAATCTTTAACTTGTAATAAATAAACTCTTAACTGGCACAGGAAAGGTAATGCCAGAATAGAATTTTGAGACCCAGGAAGGAAGAAGAGATCCAGTAAATGATAACTTTGGTGTCATACAAAAACCCTACCTTTCAGGGCAGTGCAATGTGGCTTTAAAAACATAGACCATAGACACAGACTATGGATACTGTTTGTTCCAGTATTTATGGGATTCTGTGGAACACTTTTAAACCAATCTCTGGTTCATAGATGTCCTTTATAACATTATTAGAACTCCTAAATTAGAGAAGTACCTGAAACTGACTGAGTTAGTAGAGTTTACTTAGACTGTGAATCTATTTTTAGAAGTTAGGTTTCATTCTGCACCAGCACATACATATACATATTACATCAGGTTATCTAGTACCCTTCTAGACTAATGCTGATGTGTGAGGTAGAAATAAAGTTTTAGAGGCTTAGTGTCTGCCAGGTTCCAGGGCTATAGATAAAAATCCTCTCACTTCACTTTCTTGGAAAGGCTTGATTAATTTCATGTGATCTGTTATCAATAAAAATGGATAAATGTGTAATCAACTATGACTTCATATTTTACATAGTTTTGTAAAACATTGCATATGAATAAAATCTTTAATTGGAATATCACGTGTGTTTACTTTTTAATTTTAATGACCTCCAAGTATAGATTCTTACCTTCTCTTATGTATGTATCCTCCTTAGAGTTTCCACTGATGTTCTTAGCTTCAGCTCCCATCATTCCTTATCTGGCTTCTTTTTAAAAAAATTTATCTTTATTGTTGAAAGTATTACATATGTCCCACCCTTTTTCCCCCCATTGACCTACTCCACTCAACTCTTGCTCCACCCCCCAGGGCTTCCCTGAACTTTTGTTTATGTCTATGGGTTATGCATACATGCACATATATTTTTTGGTTAATGTCTTCCCACCCCACTACCTTTCCTAGCTTCTTGCCATCCTCTTCTACTCTCCCTCTCTTGAGTTTTCAGCCATAATTTCTTATTTATTATAAAAGGAAAGTCCAGATTTCTTATCATTCTCTATAAGACTGTGGGAGATCTGCTCCTTCCTAGATTCTCTGGCTTTCTTTCTCTCTGCCATCTGTCTCTTGCACTCTATGTTCAAGCATCACAAAAGAACTTACTGCTTTTTAATTTTAATTTATTTTATTTTTTGTTAGTCCTGAACCGAGGACATTTTTTCATTGATTTTTTTTAGAGTGGAAGGGAAAGAAGAGAGACAGAGAGATGAGAGAGACACTTTGATTGCTTGCCTCCTCATGACTCCAACTAGGCTGGGGATCAAAGCTGCAACCCAGGTACATGTCCTTGACTGAGAATGGTACCCAAGACCTTCAGTCCACAGACTGATGCTCTAACCACCGAGAAAAACTGTCCAGGGTGGAACTTATTGCTTTTTAAAAGCCTGATGCTCTTTCATGCCCCTCTGCTTTAGTTCACACAACTCAGTCCTCCTGAATATCCCTCTAATCACCCCCACACCCAGGGTCAGTCATTCAACTGATGAACACTTACACAAATTTCAACATTAAACTCAGGGAAATTACTCTACCACAATAATTATTACACTAATTATAATACACACACCCCTCCCCTGGGAATTGTTACTTTTGTTCTTGGAATTTTAACCCTGTTCTGCACTTCCATACAAGCCCAGAATTGAGCCCTAATTAGTTCTCTGAGGCTTGGACTCCAGTGGTCTTCCTGAGTCTAAGAAGAAATGTCATTTGAGAAGATAGTACATAAACATGTGAACTCTAACTGCAAAAATATACAAATGTCTTCTTTTCTTTTTGAAAATGTAAATTTTAGGTAGGCTTCTTAGATAACAAATAAAATGATATTATTATTTGTCCACATTTCCAGTATTACCTAATCCTCTTGCTTTTTCATAACCCTACCTTTATTCACTTTAACTATACAATGTGAAAGAACCATATAATAATAACAATAATTGCTATTATTAGGTGGACATATGTTATATACTATTGTATTTTATATGCATGATTTTATTTTATTCCCACAATCATTTCTGTTTTACAAAAAAGGAAATGGAGGCACTAATGAGTACCTATTAATATTTGAATTTGTCTCTGACAGACAATCTGTGTATTTAGTAGCTGAAATATGAATCCTAGGTTATCAAGCAGATATTTCAAAGAGAGTCATGCACAGTCCTCCAAACTTCCCCACAAACCTCACCGCTTGCACATCTCTGATCACAACAGTAAAAGAGCTTTGGGCAGGTGGTATATTTGCCCTATGGGGAAAAAGAGATGAGACAGATGGATGAAGCTTTCTCCTTGGTTTTCCATTGCCTTTTCTTGTGCTCCATGTTGTACAGAATTACTCCCTGCTGCTTCCTATACTCCATACACAAAACAAGACAGAAACTTTAAACATTTCTTCTGAGGAACAAAAATGTTGACATAAACTTTAGCTCTGTGAAATGAGATTATATGAGGTTATCAGGGAAATTCATCTCCTGCAGTTTTCAGAAGGAATATGTATTTTTACCATGGAAGAAAAAAGTGTTAATTATTTCTACATTTTATATCCCTAAATTAGTTTTCCTAAAAAATGCTTTGAAAATATTATTTTTTTCTGATTTTTTGAGGTCTATATCAAAATAAGGAGACAATCTGAAGGAAAGTCCATTTTGACTTTTCTCCTTCCCTCCCCCACCCCACAAGAATTTGAGAGTAGAAAACTATTTGGTGCACTCATGTATCAACAAAGGAAAAATCAAAACTTGACAAGCTGAATTAACTAGGCTCTTGGCATATGCCATTTGAGGTGGATTAAAGCAAGAAAGGGTTGAGGTAATGAGGAATATGTAGCTTTAATTATTTTGTTAATTCCTAAATAAATTATATCAGTAATGATAATAAACATAAAATAACAAAAATTCATATGCTATAAAGAATCACTATAGGAAATTCCAAAATGGTGGTGGAGTGAATGGAAGCTACACAGACCATCTCCCAGGACCAAACAGAAATTATAACTAAAATAAAGAAAAATCATCAGGAAAAAGCAACAGAAAAGAAGCTTGTGAGGACCATATAAACAGGGACACCAAATGATCCTGGTAGGATTGCTGAGGCACGAGAGGGGGGTTGGGAGCCCAAAAACAGCAGCAGTCTTATTTGTGAGCAGTGCCGTCGGGGTTAAACTCCCAAGCGATTCCACAGGGCACAGTCTGGACAGAGTGCTAAAATCGCCACAGTAACTCACCTTAGGCTCTGGCAGAGGGATGGTGGGCTGGACTGGAACTGTATGGGGACACTTGGGATTTGGAGGGCACTCAGAGCTTTTCCTGAGTTTCAGCCACACAGGACTGTGGCCATCTTACTCCTTCCCAGGGCTCTGGGGAGAGGAGACAGCCCTTCCCTCAGTGATTCAACTCCAACCTGTGGGCCATTGAAATGCAAATTGAGGCTCATTAACAACCAGCATCTGCCCCACCCTCAGAAAATCACCTTACTCTGAACACCTGATGGAGTTTTTTATTCAACTGAGAAACCAAGTCTCTTCAAGTAACCTAGATGAATAGCCTCCAGGCAAAAAGCTAGAAAATGACTAGCCATTCCTGAGCTTACAACTCTACTCAGGAAAGTAATACTTGACAGTGAGAGAGAGCCACAAAGAGCAGAACACCAACACCCACAGAGAACATTTGGCAGGCTCCAAAACCCACGGAGATAGCCAACATGGTGAAACAAAAAAGAAAACAAATCCCAAATGAAAGAACAAGAGAACTCTACCAAAGATGAGATAAAAGAAATGCAGTTGAGCAAGTTAACAAAGCTAGAATTCAGAGCCATGATCTGGAGGAAGCTCAACAGCATGGCTAAGGACAACACCATAAGTAAAAACATAGAAACATTGAAAACCAACCAAGTGGAAATGAAGAATGACAGAGCAGAAACTAAGAACACATTGGAAGGACTAAAGAGCAGACTAGAAGAAGCAAAGGACTGGATCAGTGATTTAGAAGACAGAGTAGGAAAAGTCAACCAATCGGAAAACCAAAAGGGAAAAAGAATTAAAAACAGGAAGACAGTTTAAGAGAATTGTGGGACAACTGGAAACGTAATAACACTCGCATCATAGGAGTCCCCACAGAGAAAGAAAATGGGAAAGTGTTAGAGAATATATTCGAAGAAATAGTGACAAAAAACTTCCCTAAATTGGTGAAGGAAGAAGGCATTCAAGTTCAAGATGCACAGAGAGCCCCAA